CAACAGCATAAAAATATGCACCTGACAACATATGCATGGATTTGCAAGCCCATACACACACTCTCTCATCATATGTCACTACACATAATATGACCATTCTACAGCCAAATCTGTTATCACGGCTAATTACTACTCCCACCTCAGATATACAGGGCTGTAATTAGCCTCTTAAAACATGATTAACATGTCTCAATTAAGCCAGTCAACATTTGCATAATATATTAGCTGTCCTAATTGCAAGTGAGTTTATATCAGCGGACAGGGAGCAGCAGAAATACTTGCTGTTGCTTCTGAGCACACTAATAAGGTGGTGAAATATGGATATAAAGGAACTGTCAGTGAATAGAAGATATCTCACACTATCTTTATATCACACAAGTCACTTTAAAAGCAAAGGTTAACTTACAAGCTGTGCATCCAAGTAGGAAAAAAAATCCACATTTATTATTATTCACTCTGATGAAAATTTCTGGCAAGAAGGGAGACGAGTTTCCTATAAACTCACAAATCAAGTCCACTATTCTCAGGAAAACATCACACTCATTTTAGAGTTTTTCATTTGAGCTTATTTATGAGAGAACAGGCAGAGTCCTGTTGGGTCTTATTTCCGTGGAAACTAAAACATGGTGGAGGGGATAAACTGCTGCTTCTGCACTTCCAAGCCAGGGACAGATATACAGTCTCCCAGCTAGCGCGGGGAAACCAAGGACATAGCCATTAGTTTCAGGGCAGCGCCACATTGAAGACTAATGCCTCCATCTGTCACTGGAGATGAGAAGAGAGTAACAAAGAGAGGCAACACTAACCCCTGAACTCATCATGGACAGCCATGTCAATTAAATACTGAAAAACAGCAGCACTGGGAGCCATAGTGACCAGTTTATCCGCTGCTACATGGGAACTCGACGAGTACTTCCATCATCATTTAATGTTGATATTACAAAAAAAGACAGAGATAGCACTTTGACATCATGTCCAAGCACCATTGTGTTCATTTCAAGCCTCCAGAGACAATTACTGGATTTATTGATTAATCATTGAAAAATTAATTAGCGGTTTATCATCATAATTTTAAAGCACAAATGCATTCTTCTTAGCTTCTCAGTAACTTTTGATTTTCTATTTTCATAGTACACAAAATAAAAATCTCTCACTGCTCAGTTAGACAGCCGGGTAACTGACAAACTCGTGGATACCAGCAGTCCCTTTGGATTCATGCCAGTGAAAGTGGGACATTTTCCTCTCCGTTTATGAACTCCACTGGCAGGAGCCAAGTAAAAGTAACCGGATCACTGTAAATACCTAAAATGTGTTGTCTAATTAGCAGTTCAGGCTTGAGGGTGGGGGCTGCAGTTAGCAAGATGGACTGATTCAGCAGGTCTCCAGCTTTGATAAGTTCAAGCGGTGTAATGCATTATCCGTCTGATCACATTAGTCATGCAGGAGCTCTCCATCTGACCTGAGTGTGCATGGAAGTAATGCGAGGCTGCTGACACAGAGAGGCCTAACGAAACAGTCCCAGGCCCGAAGATAGAGAGAGAGAAAAAAAAAGAGGGGGGGGGGGGGGGGGGGGGGGCAGGCCTGAAATCTGACACCCAGAAATACTGACTTGGTGTCTGGCTTCTCTTACTTAGTCAACCTGTACGTGCCAGCTTCCCTGGCGGTAATGGTTCCACACAAACAAAGACGCTCTGCAGTTCTGTTCACAGGATGTGAAGCAAACACAGGAAAACACATTTTAAGTGCTCTCAGGAACTGTAGTAACAATGATGATTTTTTTTTTTTTTTTTTCTTTTTAGTTGAGAGGGGCCAGGAGACGGGGCCATATTTCTCTGAAGTACACCCAAGGCTGCCAAAAAAGAACGTCTCTAAGTGGTAACACAATTGTTTGCCGTCGCTCCTCCGTAAGTCAGCGTGTGAACCTGAGCTTGTTTAAACTTGCTAAATACTCTTTAACACGGTGACATGGAAATGACCCCGGCACAAATAAACAGGGCGTGGGGTGGTGTGGGGTCATCAGTTAAGGCCTGCTCGCTCTGCTATTGGCATGCACTCCCGCCTTGTTTGTCAGCTGCCTGCCAATGGACACCTCACTGCGTCAATGACCCATATTGCTGCTGTCAACGCTCACTCCGCCAATATACCTTGCAGAAGAGGTGCACGCGGCCCGTGAATAACTACACGCAGCGAACGCGAGCTGATGTAGGGGAAATTCTTCGCGTCTTCGTTAAAAGGTCGAGGAGCTTCAGATCTAAACTGCTGCACTCATCTCCTCCGGCTTGCACCTCTTCTCGGAGACATTCTGACTGCAACAATGTAAAAAGGCAAGGAGAAGCTGACTCTTTATAAAGAATATAAAAAAGTCCTGACAAATTACAGGCTGTACTCGGCTTGCATACACTGCACTCAGCACATTTGGCTGTAAATGCCATGGTGAAGGTTTGAGTCATTTTCTCTGTCACTGCAGTGAAAGGATTTTCAGTTTCATCTGCACAAAGCCTCCTATGGGCAAAGATGAGCTGCAGCTCGGATCTTCAAACACAGACATGGGATTTTTTTATGGCGGGCGGGGGGAGGTTGATCATACTTTTTAAATGCATTTCTGATATTTTGAGCACACAGAATTATATTTTTTTCATTAAAAAAACGAGTACGAATAACCGATCCAACCCAAGAGAAAAGAGAAAATGAAAGCCGTGGCGAAACATGTTCATTTCCAAAATTGGTACTAAACCGAGGGGAGGACAATTTGCAGTCCGAGGGGAGCCTCTCACTTGTCAGAAGCTCTGTGAAATTCTGGTTGCCAAGAACGGTGGGAAGAGAAGGGAGGCAGGGGGAAAAGCCAGGAAAAGGTCCAAGTCACTTTGTTCTTCTTTTTGGAAACGAACTCTGGTTGAACCCAGGGAGACGCCAGACAGTTTACAAAGAACCAGGCATTACTCTTTCACTTTTCAAAGCCTCGCAATTTAGAAACAGGGCCCCAACCTCCTCTAACTTCCTCTACATGGACTGCACTCTTCGTAAATCTGATGAAAATCTCAAGTGTCTGCATGTTCCTTCTCCTGTTTTTGGAGAAACATGTGCCAAACTCTGACTCATGCGAATGAAATGTCAGGAAAGAACAGTTTATGTTATATTAATGAAAACACTATTACCTCCATCCAGCCCCGTCCCCGTGTTTATTCTCAGCCATCTCCCATGGCTGAGATGTGACAGCCCAGTAGGCAAAGTGACAAGACTCTCAATAACCTAACAGACAGCTTCAAAGTTGCCTTCGCAGATAAGGCCATATTGGATGTTTTGTTTTATTTCCTCCCTTGAAAAGCTGCGCTCCGCCACGCACCTCAAACAACATCCACGGGCTTTCATCGCGTGAGCTCGCTCTTTCTTTTAATCTGCTGTTAAGTGCGAGCCATAATTCACACATTCTTTTTCATGACTTTGACCCTCACGGTGAACATAAACAGAACATCTCTTTGACCTGCCTCTGCATGTAAAACAGCTCACTTAGCACGCACCATCGAAATGGGCTGCAGAAAAACAGACAGCGAGGGGGTGAGGAAGCCCTGCTCCACCAATGCCCGAATGAGAAAAGCTGCCCCTCAGTGTCAGGAACCTCAGCCGCTGCCATTCCCCTTCAAATACACGCCACCCATTCATCCACAGGAGATTGCATTTAGGTAAACGCGACCTCTGCTTTTAAACAGGTAAATACACATCTATTAAATGCTGCAGCTGATTCCAGAAAAAATGTCAATGGAGAGACAGAGAGACAGACACAAAGAAGATGGTGTTACACCCCAAAACGAACCACATCCTAGTCAACGGAGGCGCTTACCTGTTTTCTCTTTTATTTCACACAAGACGTTGAAGAGGGCAGGTTTCATTCTGTGGCAGTTGAGTGCGTGTTTCCTAAAAAGAAAACAAGATACCACTTTCCAAATTGATATTCAAACAAGTGGAAACAGAACAAAGCTACTTGACAGACAGTCTTATTAATGTGACACAAGCTCTGTCATTTTTGGAGAAGAAAATCCACAAATCCACAAGTCATGGCAGTGGTAGAATATTCACAATATTTCACTAAGTCCATCTAGGACCTATAGGACCGTCTTACCAAATGGAGGACTTCGAACATTTTAAGAACTCGGGATTTTCTGACTTAGAATACAAAACAAAATCCGTCCAGTTACACCCCAGCTGTCACATCCTTTAAATATCTTTAGCATATCGTTTTTCATCATGATTGCTAATGCTATGGATCGTAACTGTAGGAAAAGGATGTGCATGATTATTATGACACCGGAATACAATAAAAGCTCCTTTGTAACAAGGAAAAAGAGTGTCAGGGTAACTGAGGTGCCAAGCGCTCCAAAGCTGAAACCGGGCTTTTCTAAATCTCCAATAATACGACGTTACTTTATAATTTAGAGAGTTGTTTTTTTTTTAATATATATTCACACAAAAGTTGTTTCAGATAATCGATCGCGAATCGTGACAAGTTTTCCAGGTCTTTTTTTTTCGCTTTCGCGCAGTCACGGCACTTCAGTGGGCGTTATTGCTCTCATTTACAGGCAGTCTTGATTCAAACCAATATGTTATTATCTTCTATCCCCAACATTTTTCCCAACAGACAGCGAAAGTGTTGTTGTTTTTTTTCTCCCCCCCCCTTGTTTGTTTTGTTCAGCCTCACCTCGCCTGTGCTTCGTCCAAGCTTTGGTCTGTGATGGTCATAATTTGCTGTAATATGTCTCCGATGTCCTGCTTCCTCCCCTCTCCGTCCGTCCCCGCCGTGCCATCCTGCAAATGCTGCGCCAGGCCGGGGTGTCCGGCCATGCCTACCCCGTGGGAGTGCATCAACCGAGGCTGCTCGTCCATCCTGGACCACGGTCCCTGCTGCTGCTGCCTCCCTTCCAACTTTTAATTTTTTCAGAGCAAGCGGAGGAGGTCAAGAAGACAAAATATCCTCGGAAATTCCTCTGGATTCCTCGCGTCTCTCTCAGCCCCGACACTCCTCCTTTTTTCCTTGGTAAGCTTTTCTGGATTTGGGAGGAGGGAGACTGACAAACCCTCTCCCTCTCCCCTCTCTCTCTCTCTCGGTTCTCTCTCCCAACTGGTGGAGGTGAAATCTGATCTGAATCGCTGCTTTTGGCTTTGGCCACTCCTGCGTCGCTACTGTAGGGAAGAAGAAAAACAGGATTGAACATTAAAGCCTCGTAATCTGATTAAAAGTGGAGCGCGTTGGGCTCCTCTTATGAAACCTCCGATATATACTCGTGAGCTTGATGCGCCACCAAAAAAAAAGAAAAGCGCTTAAAGACTCAACTTGCCTGTTAAGGATTTGGGCAGAAAGTAGCCACCAACTGTTATTGTTTCGCTTATGTCTGATAACTGACTCATAATCAGAGTATGGATGGAAAAGCCTCCGCCCCTCGAGCCACGATTGGAGAAGAAGGAGCGCGCAAGTCCCACCTCGGTTCTCTCTGAAAACGTCAATCATCCTCCCAGGCATGGTGGGACACTGTAATAAACATTAAGAGATGTGACCGGACCGGGTGGCAATGCAGTGATGGATAGAGAGTGAATATGTAGCCTAATAAATAATTGTGAGTGGCAGTGGAGCTCTGACCCAACAGGACAGCATGGTGGTGCTTGGAAAAGACACTCTGTCACCCGCACTATATATTTTCCTGCTGGATATTTACATTCCTGCAATCAGTCAAAAGAATAATAAATCAAGATCCATTCTCTGAAACGTGCCACAGTTTGTGGAAGGCGTTTCATAAACCTTTTGGTTGTGACACAGCCCAGAAGAGTAGTAACAAAATGCTGCTCACTGGCAGTGGAGAGCAGCGTTTGGGACTCTTATGGAGGCTTCCCCTCTCATTGACCAGACCAAATAAAATCCATCTAATATATTCAAGTTTCAGTGACTCATAAAACAGAGGCTTTCCTTAAGTTTACCCATAATAGTCTATTTACATGTGTTAGGTCGTAATATTACATGAAAAGCAGCTGCAAGGCCTTTTGTTGCCCCAGAGACAGCAACAAGAAATCTGATCAACTGTCTCACATGACATCCTTTGAGTCCGTTAGATGAGGGGTTAGCACAGCGTTTCCTCTCGGCCTAAAGTTAGACGCTTCAAATTACACTCGCTGCTGTTGTAACACACCCAAATCCTGGACGACCGCATTTCCCTGAAAAACAGAAATATCCAGGAGGCTTTCAAATGGAGTAACAAAGAGCATGCAAATGTGACACATTTTGTGTGCTTAGGCGTGAATAAACTGGATTGTTATGATGTAGTATGACGATGAGAGTGTGAGCTAGGTGACACATAAGTGAACCGTCTATCCATTTCCTATGTCCGCTTAGTCCAATACAGGGTCATGGTGAGGGTGGGGTCATTGGAGCCCTCCCAAAAGCAGTTGGACTAATGGCGGAGTACCCCCCCACCCCCCCGATAAGGTCATCAGTCCATCAGGGATCGCAATTATCACCTCATACATACACAGGAAGATATGTCATTACTATTTTCTTTTTCAGAAATTTGGCGCTTACCAATGGTTTTTTTTTTTTTTTACATCAGGCAGTGTTGATGACTGGCTTTTCTAAAAGGTATAAGACCTTTTTTTCTTTTTAAATGCAGCACTTAAAAAGCAGCTGAAAAACACTGATGGAAAAGCAAACCTGATAGGTTGACATTGATGCTGAGAAGACTAATCTAGATGGACAGTTTTGAACGTGTGGCATAGTGGATAAATCATCAGCGGCATTTATACAACTGGTTTAAATTTGCACTCTGCAGGAATGTTTAACATAACTAGGCAACTGGTGGCTGTTGAGGGATTTATTTATTTTTTTCAAACAGCCTCATAACGTCCGATGAAAAATGTCTATAAAGGCTCACAATTTTTTTATTGGCCCTTCTCAATATTTTGCCACCTGCCTCTTGACTTAAGATGTCAGTTTCAATTACATCCTAAGCTGTGATTGGTTGTTACAGACTATTCAGTTTAGCAAAGGTCTCAGGTCTCATAATACATAATCCATAATAATCTTTTTTTTTTCAAATTTGATAAGTCAAAATGTCTGAAATGAAAGTGGTACAGATAGCAAAAGCATTTTTTTTGGCCCAAAATGTATGCACAAAACCACTTTAAGTCAGCACCTGCAGGTAATTAAGTGTTAATTGAGTAATGTGGGCCTGAAGTAAGTGGGAGTGATGAAGACTATAGGCAAGACTTTTTTCTTGCTGCCCATTAATGCCTGAGGAGCACAATGCTAAATGCTAAAATCAGCAGAGTATTCTTAATCGATAAAGCATAACGCCACAGTTCTACACTTCAAATGCGACTGCAGGTCCTGAAGAAATATCTAAACTTTTAGTCAAAACACGCTTTTGCATTTTACAGATCAATAAATGAGTTGTTTTGTAAATCTACAAACAAAATAACAGTGAGCATCGGTCCTAACAGCACAAAAAAAACATAGTCCTCAGACTATAAACGTTGAAAAATCCAAGTCATAATGTGGACACGGTGCTGTTCTGTGCCTCAGAGGCTGAACTGTGCTTTCTTTCAACTGGCTGGACAGAAATCGATCAGTCAGTTTTCTCATTACATGCTGAATAGGGAGGTAGGCTAGTAATTGTCAAAAGGGGCAGGGTGAGGTGGAGGATAGTGGCAGAGATAATGTCTGACACTCAGGAGTTGCAAGACTGCACAGCAGAGCCCCGAAATGGAAGCTTCCAGTTCAAGAGTCCTTCTGCTTTATCTTATTCCTGCTTAACAGGGTCATAATAAGAAGGGGAGGGGTGCTCAATTTTGTTCCTTAGATCTGATACCAATGATGGTGCTTCCGCCGCAAATATCCCTATTCTGAAAACTGATCAAGACTTCTTGTATTTTTTCCACACACACACACGCATGCATACACACACACAATGGCTGTTGGATCATCAAGCTTTGATCTGTACACAAATCTCAGTTCTCTTAGTTCTGTTTTTCAAATCAAAGCAGCATTGATTAGTGTGAAATATGACCTAAACAGCTCTTTTTTTGACTTCAAATTCAAATTTATTCCACTGTAAGCCAATAAACAGAAATGGCCTGACGGCTTGAATGCTATTGGGAAAGTAAACTTTGAACAGAATAAATAAGAACTTGTTTATAACTCTGATTGCTGTACTTCATATTAAAGCAGCATTCACATCCTTAATGAAAAAATGGTGTGTGTGTGGCGGGGGGGGGGTTCTTACATTGCATATTTTCCCTCCATTAAAACCAAATGTGTTGGTGCAGCAGTGCTATTCCGATAAAAAGTGGGATTTGATTTTAATTGCAAATGGGTTTCGATGGAAAAATACTCCTATAAATAGTACATGTTTTTCCCCAGTAGTTGCGGAGCTGTTTTTCGGAGAATGAAAATGATCATGCAAAACAAGTCGGTATTCCCAACAGAAATGTGCACAAGTTGAATTTGATGAGTTCTGTTGTGTTCACCATCATCCAGTGTGGCTGCTATGATGAATACAGAGGAAAACAGAATGTTCCAAAAAATTACTGTGCATTCGTGACTATCACAACTATCAGAACTATCAGAACTAAACGTATATGAAGCACCTGCTACAATGGATTGAATAGGTTCTTCATTTTCACAACAACCTTTTCTTGTACCATGTATATTCATGTAGCACACAATTAATTGTCTGTATATTGTCCTTGAAAGCCAAATTTGAATATACTACAACATATGTATCAAAGACTGCTGTGCCTTATATAGTGAATGGAGCACTATCTCATATGTTCCTTGTAATGATAGCCATGACGCTCAGAAATCTTAATAAAACACTCCATGGTCCGTATTCTCTTCTCTGGACCAGGGTCAAACAGCTCCTCCCAGAGAGAGCTGCAGGTCAGAGCAGGGTAAGATATGCATGAGGTAAAAGCCGAAGGAGAAAGCAGCAGCTGCCTGGCACATCTCTCCAGGAAGTAACCTTGATGAAAAATTCAGTTGTTTGCAGCTCCTGGCGTCCCTCAGGCATGAATAAAGTGAGGCCCAGACAGAGAGAAAAGACCTGGGCTCAGCTTGGAACTACTCACCTACCTACTGCTGAGGCGCACACACACCAGCTAGCATTAGGAGATGGGCACAAATTAAACTTTAATCAAGCCTCAAATAGATTAGGCGACACGAGCAGAGTCAGCATTTCCGAGGCCCTTGTTCTATTGCCGTTGACCATCCTCATATGAACTTCAGCTAGATTAAATACCCGCAAGCTCCAGTTTCTTAGTGCTGCTTTAAGCAATTCAGGTCCAAGAAACAAACCTAAACAAAGCAAAACCCACACAGCTGCCTGAATATTCTATAGAGTACATACACAGCAAAACATAAAATTAAATAGCTCCTCCAGCAGCTTAGTGCACTCCAGAAAATCTATTGTAAATATAATTATCTAGCTGTGAAACATCCAGGCAAATGCTGCTCCCTTGATTGTTTTTAGGATTTAAGGATGTTTTGGTAGAGATTGAGATTGCTATACAGGTTTTTCTCAGCAAATAGACACACCTGCCTTGGAGTCAGCAGTAATCACTTTAAGAGTGCTCATTTTGAAAATTTCTTGAAAGTAAATAAAGACAAAATGTATTTGCTTTTTCAGAAATGATTATACTTTCAACTATTTTAATGTACTGTATTCAAAGAAACATGTGACTCATATTTGAGTGTAAAGCTCAATGCTTATGAATACATCTGTTTGGGTTATGAATTGGAACATATAGGGAGGCTGCCTCACATAGCCTGCCTCTGTAGGGCATCAGTGGTGGACTCCATAAACATTACAGTAAAATGTGCATTTCACCAGCTGTGGCAGTGT